TAATAATCTCCAAAACGGTATGGAAATTTGGAAAGATATAAACGGAATTAATCCTTTTATAGAACAAGTAATTTTTTTTATCTCTCATTAGAGACAGCAGAAATGGACGCAATTAGAAGAGCAATGAGAATTTTACGGAAGGAAAAAATCAGAAATGAAGACATTAAACGACAGATGGGAATAGAAAGAACAATCATGAATGATATAGAACAACAATTAATATGGTACGGCCACGTTCAGAGAATGCACAGTGAAAGAATTCCAAAACAAGTATATCATTGGATACCACCTAGTAAACGAAAAAGGGGACGTCCCGAGAAAACATGGATGGAAGGAATAAGAAGATCGATGAGCGAGAAAAATCTGACCGAAGATCAATGGGAAAATCGCATAAGGTGGAAGTCGCATCGGACAACGTCGTAGAACATTCTGACCCGAATGTATCTATACAGGGTGTCCGGAAATTAATGCAACAAAATTTGGTCATAGATTCTTGAAAAAAAATAGGTGACTCGTATTTTTTATTTTTTGCGAGTAGCCCCCCTATTAGGATTTATAGCCCCCTGAATTTCGCCCCTAAAAAGAGTTTTTTTTTAATATCTCAGGGCCCTGTTGGACGAAAATCACTAAATTTGGTACACGTTGTTTTGATGCTGTTAACTTTTTTTTAATTTTCATCAGTGGCGTCCCTACGGTATTTAAACTAAATATTATTGAAGAAAAAAATGCTTTTTTGGTACGACGCACCGTTTTCGCGTAAAAAAATAAAATCCATTTTCATACATGACTAAATCGCTAAAATTTTACCGTAAATTTCAATGGCAAAATTTTTAAAACAGCAAACTTAAGTTTAAAATAATTTTTTATTTTCCAAAATCTTGTTTTTATTACCTAAGTGCGAACCAAAATGTCCAAAACCCTAAATTGTCGTTTTTTAAATTTTGCTATGAAAATTTACATTAAAATTTTAGCGATTTGGTCATGTATGAAAATGGTTTGTATTTTTTTACGCGAAAACGGTGCGTCGTACCAAAAAAAATCAAGAGATCAAATTTGCTCCAAATTGAATGTGGATTTTAAAAATAATTTTTATTTAAAAAAAACAGTGGTACGCCACTAAAAATAAAAAGTTCTTCAATAATATTTAGTTTAAATACCGTAAGGACGCCACTCATGAAAATAAAAAAAAGTTAATAGCATCAAAAAATGTAATTTTATGGTAAAACAACGTGTACGAAATTTAGTGACTTTCGTCCAACAGGGCCCTGAGATATTAAAAAAAACTCTTTTTAGGGGCGAAATTCAGGGGGCTGTAAATCCGAAAAGGGAGGCCACTGGCCAAAAATAAAAAATACGGGTCACCTATTTTTGTTTGAAGAATCTATGACCAAATTTTGTTGCATTAATTTCCGGACACCCTGTATATAAACATACATTTTTATAAGAATGCATTTATTCTGAAAATGTCAATAATAAAAAAGTGTTTCCTCTTCCGGTAACACACATATCTACTGTATATAGTTTTATTTATAACTTTATAAACGAATTTTAACATTATCATAAATTAAGTTTAAATGTTAGTTGATCTAGAAGAAACAAAAAATCAATATAGGAAGAAGTTAAGCATATTTTCTAAATATAATTGTAATTAGGCCTTTACTCCACACCACCCTATTCTAAACACGAATTTAGCGAAAACGTAAACAAAAAGCATTTTCCGATCACAATCGCGCCCTAAGCCCCATTTCCCGCGTTGCCTAATTGAATCTGTTCGAAAATTCCCGCCCTAGGCCGTAGTCGCGGTATCGTAAATACTAATTTTACTTTTGGAGAAGCAAAGCTCGCTCCCTGATACCTTTAATGAAATTTTAAATCGGCACTCTTTTTAAACCGAACCCAACCTGAACGCAATTAGGGTAAGACAACACGACCAAGCCCGCTGCTTACTAAAATGGCGGCTACAGTGGGAGCGAATTGGTAAGAAAATTTGTTCGTATGAATCAGTTTTCATAAATTCTTACGACTTATTCGTACTCATTCACTAAATCGTACAACAGGTTACACGTTCTGTTAAAATGACATTTGAACGTCGACGGTTTATAATAGACATATTTGCTAAATACTGGAGTATTCTCTGAACCATTATATTTTATGTGATATTTTAAACAGTTTTCCCTTTTCGTTTTTTTGCTTCTGATGAGGGGATACCTCCTTTTGATTTGCTATTTCTCGGCTGTACTGTGCTATACTGTGCTGCCTTCAATATGCGGCTAGCCTTGTCTTGAGAAGTAGTTAGTTCGGTAGCGTAATTAGCCTTGAAGAGTAGTTACCCCCGTAGCGTAGTTTGGTCTATTACCTTGTGCATTATATTTAGCCTGTGTGGCGTAGTTTGCCTGTATGGCACTTTCTCTGTATGATTACAGTCTTTGTGACTAGCCTGTGTGGCATATTCTCTGTATGAGAACAGTCTTTGTGACTGCCTGTGTGGCATATTCTCTGTGTGAGATCAGTCTTTGTGATTAGCCTGTGTGGCATATTCTCTATGTGAGAACAGACTTTGTTATAGTCTCTGTAGTCCTCTGTGGTACATTCTCTGTGTGAGAACAGTCTGTGTGACTACAGGTGACTAAATGCCTTTGTGGCATATTATTATTGTTTTTAAACATGTGTCTTTTATGTTGGAATATTAAGAAACTATTCAAGTACCTGTTTAATTTTAAATTCACCTCATTTTAATAATAATTGATAACATTGTTGGTCACACCATTTTTCTCTTTAATTGCAGGTAGGTCATCTCGGTAGCCAGGTTATACAAGACTTTTGTTGCTATACAACATTTGTCCATTTGCAGAGCCCAGATTAAATTATTTTTATTTTATATTATTAGTTGTATTTTATTATACAACATTTACGCCCTTTAAATTTGTTTTATGGTTTTTATTTTTAATTTTGAGTTGACCGGTTGAAAAAAAAATTATTGGCCCTTATAAAATTAACACTGACCATTTACCCAAAACATATATTAATCCATATGCCTATAAACATTAATGGCGATTGATATTCGAGCCTTCCCAAACAATCACGATTTTTTTCTGCGAATCTGTATATCTTTCAATAACATAGATTTCTGCCTGAAGGATGCTTGTGCAGGTGCCCACTGGTTCGGAGTGTCTAGTTTTCGGCCTAGATAATCCTATCCCTGTCCCTGCTTAGGTTTTGGAAGCATCGGTATACCACATTATGATATGGTCTGTTAACTGCTGTGCAGCATTCTTTCTTCCAATTGTTTTTTTTTGCTCGATACTACAGACAAGTGTTCTCAAAGTTGTACATTCTTGGTATGTCATCCACTAGGAGTTGGAGGAGTGAAATTTTCGTTTTAAGGGTATTGCTAAAGCTTAAGCTCATAAGCTATCCCTATAGAGGATACTGACCATTCATGCAAGAAATATAAATATGTATGGATTATTTTCTACAAAAATTACTTTATTCTTAGCTTTAAACAATAAATGAATTTGTTATTATTATTTGAATTTGATAAATCTAGACCTGCATAAGAATATTTTAAATAATATTAAATTACTGATTCTTAGATCTGAATTAGATTACTAATAAAAAATATCCAAATATGTAGTTTATTTCGTAAAATATACCTGCAAAAGTTTGTGTAACATGTCACTAAACGGCGGCGGCGTGTACACTTCATCATAATAATTGCCAAATGCCATTGCCCTACTATAACCTACTAACTCACTGATTAGATATTCGTAAATTAATTACAGAGCCTGAGGTTCGAACCTATGCCACACCATATAAGCGAAAAGGATTTGTGACAGATTGCCTGCCCTGCTCCTTTCACACACTCACACACGGATGAAAAATCGATAGTTTCCGACGCTTGACAAATTTTGACACGATAATAATGATACGTATTCCTACACGATATACTTGAAAGATATAGATAATAGTAATGCGTCAGTTAGTATACAAATAAAAGTGTTTTTAATATAGCATGAAATCGCTGATTTAAGGTAAATAATAAAAAAACAGATTCATAATGAACACTTTTCATAGTTCGATATACTTCCCTTATCTGATGCGTTGAATATGTTAAGTTATTGCGTAATTGTATTTGTAGCTTTGAATTGTGCTCTTATATAGAAAACTAAAAAAACTATACCGGGTGCGAATCAAAAGTGGCTCACCGATTATTACACTTTTATTTTTCAGATAAAAAACGGATTTGGTGCAGCATCCTTAAAAGCATTCACTACTCGCAACTTACGATCTGCAGACAAGTTAATTCCACGTGGCATGATATATCACAAGAGCTCAAATGTTTTTAAATCGCAATTGTTCATAAAGGCAGAACAAATGAAACTAACAATTTTTAAAAATATTTGGTTCATCTACTTTTGTCCAAGACAAAAAAGGAATATTTGCCAATTCTTATCTATAAATGATAAGACTAACAGAAGAATTTATATTTGTTTGTAGTATTTTGGTGAGAATGTATTAAACTTTTAACATACAAAGGTACATAAAATAATTTTGATATTTAACACCTCAAATCTGATTTTCTTCGCAATTATTGGTATTGGTTCATCCACTTTTGGCCAATACTGTATATGTTACGGATAAAGTTCGAAGTCCGATGTTCGGTTAATGTCGACATTAACCGGTTAATGTTTGGGTTAGGTTATGTTTTTGGTTGTTTTGTTGTGTGTTATTCTCGAGATTAACCGGGTAATGTCGACATTAACTTATTACTTAACCCTAACATATAGATCATATCAAATAAACTTTTTTTAGTCTCGTGATTAAGCTTCAGCGTTGCCGACTTTTATATACCGGGTGCGTCTCAAAAGTGGCTCACCCCTAATAATATAACTTTTTAACCCCCCTAACCCTAAAGTATTGCCAACTAAGTTCAATCATTGCTGACCACTCCGTAGTATAAAAAAAAGTTAAAAATTATTTTATAACAATTTTTTTTTCAGAGCAACTATTTTGGCAGTTACAGCTTATTTGGAGGCCTTTCAAAAAATAGCAGATTCAGCAACTAGTACAAGAGGTGAGTTTATGTGCATGTATACAACAATGTACATTTTTTAAAAAGAAATAATATACAGGGTGAGGGGTGAGTCTTAAATAAGTGAAAATTGAAATTTAAAAATAATAAGTTTAAATGTAAAAATACACGAAAAAATGGTAGTGAACATTTTCTTCAAAAGCGAATATCTCCAAACAAAATAAAGCTATTGAAAAGGTGCGTTTCTAAGGTCTAAAAGGTGCGTTAAAACTATATACAGGCATTAATTGAAATTTTTAGTACGTCGACAAACACAAGAGGCGCTTTTTATTTACTTTCATTTCTTAACATGACTGAAGAAGTTTTAAAGGGGGATGTTTTGTGGATAGGTTATAAAATTCGTTGTGACACCCTGTGTATACTTTTATCTAAACGTGACAGCTAGAAAGTTACAGTAAAAACTTTTTGTCTATTTTTCTTCAGTCCTCCGCCTTTTTCACGTCAGTTTCTTTTAATTTCTTTTATTATTATGAAGCAAAACGAAATAGATTATTTTTGACGTAAATAGAAATGTCTGCCGGCGATATCGGCGAGACAATGGAGCTTGGGGTGGGGGTTAATGTCCTCCGGAACCCTCAACCCTCTTTGGAGAGGTTGAGGGGTAAGAGCTATATGTGGGTCAATCAATTCAGCCCAAGATGCGTTCAGTGTGTTTAAAAGTGCACAGTGTAAGAACAAAGAGGAAGAACTGCCTTTGTTTGCAAATGTGCACTGAAAAAAAATCTGAAAAATGAAATAAAAAATTATTTATTTCATTTATAATATTTTTTTGTATGTTTATTACCTCATTATTTATAAATATTTTTAATTTTATTGTTTTAGGTGATTGCTAATAAATTACATTTTAATATATACCGGGTGCGTCTCAAAAAAAATTGGCCCCGGCAGGCACGTATAGCCGCCCATACTAAAATATGCTAATAAAAAGTTGGTAGGCAGTTCTTTTAGTTTCAAAGTAAAGGAATTTTTCCCATTTTATCTCAAAAACTGCGACTTTGACTGATTTTGATGTTATTACATACAAATTTTGTTGCAAATATTATTCCTAATCTTAAATTGAAAACCGCGTTTCGCTAGCTACTGTAATTTTGGAGTTACGATTTTTTAAAATTTTAACCCCTCCCATACCCCCTTACGAATCCCCCACCCCCCACCAAAAACTAAATGCCAGATTTCCCGGTGCCACAGTATTTTTGTGCCAAATTTGTTAAACGTTTAGCGGTTTTTGAGTTATCGTGTTACAGACGGACGGACAGACACCATGAAACTATTTTGTATTTAGGTCGTGACCCAAACAACTCATTTTGAGTGAAATTAAAAAAACTTTTTTTTTGTCGATCCTAATAGCCTACCATACCTGGTCGGCTAAAAAAACTTTTTCTCATATTTATTCTGATCGGAAAATTTGGCCGTGCATGTTTTGAACATCCTGTATTCAAGTCTTTTTTTAATATATTTTTTTTTTCTGGCAAGGTTACAAGGGACCGTAAATCCCTGAGAAACGCCCATTATCAGATTTTTTCCTGCGATTTTCCAGAGTTGAAAATTGACTTAAATCCGGCAACGTTGCATCTTCGCAAAAGCGTATCTTTATAATGAGAATTACAGCGAATCCTTCTAGCATGACACCTGTTATCCTCTTGCGAGGAGTCTTGCGGCAACATTGTTGCACTTCATCGAGTTTAAATATACAACGAATACCTACCATCCACCATCGTTTTGCTGGGAAGAGCGGTATAAAAGGAAGAAGAAGAAATAGAGCATGACAGACGCGTCTGTGTACGCTGAAAAAAATGACTGAAAACCTCTCGTATGAGACAAAAGATGATAAATAGTATATTACATACCGAGGAGGGGAATTGTTTCATTACTGTCGAGAGATTAACTAAATCTCGAGACAATAATGAAAACTTTCCTCCGAGGTTTGTATACTATTCATTTTTATTATTGTTAATCTTCTTGTTTATTTTTGTTGATGTTGTAGAATGTAGAATGTTTAGAAGGGGAGTTAATCACCGCGACCTTATAGATCTATTGTGTGTTCCCCTTTCTTGAGTTATAACGAGTTATAACTCATCATACAGTCTCAGGGCTTTAAGAAAAGCCAGTATCTGAGACGGCTCCACAGAGGCCAGCTCCATCCTTCGACATCAGACGTGCCAAGGTTCATGGCACGAATGGTCGTCGTCTCGGCGCACTCAGTGATAAGGTGTTTGGTAAGCCTCATTTTCGCCACAAAATCTGCATTCGCCGTTGTTTCTCAGTTTCAGCCTACTGAGGTGTCTGTTGAGGAGACAGTGTCCTGTTAGAAACCCCGTGACAATCCGAAGATTGTTTTTTCTTACTTTAAATCAAGGAAAACCTTTGATTTTTTCTCGGTCATAAGTTCTAAGGAAATTTTTCGAGTGTCTTTAGACTGTTGGAGGACACCCATTCCAAGTTACGGATGGGGTCTTCCAGATTCTTCAGTTCCGCTTTCAGTTGGTCTCGTTTGGAAAACAGAACGGTTCTTGGTCCAGTTAGTGGAGTGTCTTCGCTCCTTTCCTAGCTAGATCATTTGCTTTTTCATTGCCTTTCATCCCTTGGTGAGCAGGCACCCAGAGTAGGAGGACTTTCTTTACCTAATTTGTAGCTTCTCTTTAGGCACTCTTTGACCAACTCGGAATTGATGGTTACTGAGTTGATCGCGTTATGTGCTGCTTGACTATCGGATAGGATGGTAATTCCCTGTTTTCGATAGTTCCTATCCAAGATAAATTGTACGCATCTTCGATAGCGCAAATTTCTGCCTGAAGGATACTGTGTAGGTGCCCATTGGTTCGAGTATTCAGCTGCGCCCAAATACCCGGTCCCTGTCCCTGCTTAGGTTTTGGAAGCATCAGTATACCACGTGATGGTATGGTCTTTTATATGCTGAGTAAGTTTGTTGATGTTAGATAAGTTTTTAATAAAGATATTACAAAAATATTTTGCTAATTAAATGAGGCGAGAAATAAGAAAAACCGAGTAATGGAAATGGAAGAGGGAAGAAATGTAGATAATTTGACACTTTCAATTTTTTTAAAAGTCAGTAATGTCAGTATTACATATATGTGGTTGTAAATAAAAAATAAAATACTGGGAGTTCGTAAGCCCTGAGAAATTTCTTCGAGTGTCTTAGACCTTCGGATGATTCCCATTCCAGGTTCTTGAGTTCTGCTTTAAGTCGGTCTCCACTTGGGAATCAGAACGGTTCTGATCCTGTTAGTAGAGTGTTCGCTCATTTTCTTGCTAGATCGTTTACTTTTTCATTACCTTCTGTCCCTGGGTGTGCTGGCACCCAGTGTGGGAGGACTTTTAATTTAGGGCGTTACCATGAATAACCCTATGTTTATAAGCAAAAAACAGTCCAATTTCTATATTTATTTTATTAGGAAATACATACATAATATATACATAAATAACATAGATGAGCAAACAACCTTAATATCAAACTGGTATTCTTCAGTAAACGTTTCGAGCCTTCATTTTCTCATTATCAGTGGAGGATAGTTTGAGTGTGATGACTGATGGCGCCACCATACGCCAGCGGAGCATGGGCGTACGTGACGGGGGCGGGATGTGGGGCGAAATAGGCAGGGGCGTGCGCGTAGGTAAAAGCTGGAGTGTGAGCAAACTAAAAAAATATATATGAAACTATTTTTCACTATTGGAACTAAAAATTAGTGATGGGAATAATCGAATTATTTTCACCATCGAATAATTAGTAATAATTCATATTTCACAATCGAATTAATAATTCGAATTATTTAGTAGTATTATAAATTTAACCTAAAAATAAATTCGTCCCAGCTAGTGCTCGTCTAGGGGCTATTTTAAACAAATCTGAACCATTGCCATACCTATATTCTATCACTGAATATAAAATAAAAATGGAAAGGGTCAAACGCCAGCAAGTTCATAACCAACTATGATTTCCATTTAAAAAATTATATTTTTTATTATTTCTGACAAAAAGAGCATGTATAGAAAAAAAATGACTACGCCACTGGATTGTGCTTAAAAAAGTGCCTTAAGAACGTTTTTACAAAATTTCATTATTGCGCGAAATACAAAAGTTATAGGCAATTTTCCAAATGGTAAAAAATTCAAAAAGACCCCGTATCTCAGTTGGCAGTGAAAATATCAACAGGCGGTTTACGCCATTAAACGTGTCTCAGAAATCGAGCCCATGACATGTATGTCGGTTTTGCGCTATCTAGTCAGGAAATAGGTTTTCTCTGTTAAAACAGACCAATTTCGACCACCCTGTACATACTGAAAATTTCTGATTTCTGCCGTATACAGCGCCGCGGTCACAATTTTTTTGAAATAAAATGAAATTCACCAAGCCTATAATGATTAATCGCTTACCTCATAGGGGGCGTGGTGGGCGATGGCCAGTGGCGCCGGAGCCGGCGCGTAAGCTAAGCGAGGTATTGGAGCGGGGGCGTGCGCTATAGCCAAGGGAGCTGGCGCGTGCGCTATGGCCACGGGAGCAGTGGCGGCGTGCGTCACGTGATGCAAGGGCTCTTTCTTGACCACGGCGTTGAAACCGTTGACGGGATCGGCGGTGTAGTCCACGGTTCTGCGGGAACCGTCTGGTTCTATCAGGGAGTAGCTGCCCTTCACCACGTCGCCGTCGCGGACTTCCTGTTGGGTTTTCTGGTCGCCAGTGTGGGCATCCTGTTAAAAAATAACTAATATTATTACGTAAACACAATCTAAATATTTCATATTTGGCGCTCAGAGTTAATATTTGATTCATACTTGTAGTATCAGTCCTAATCTTAACTTAACCGTAAGAAATTAGCTTTAAGTAACCGCTCGTACTTCTATGTGTCTTATGAATATTCTATGAGCTTGGGCTCATATCAATCTTATGTTTTGGTTTAACCTAACTGACACGAATATTTTAGAATTTCGAAAACTTGAGAGACTAATTTTTTCAATGATAATGTTTATTTATTTGTGAATAAACATTAATAATTATTTCTAGACCTGAAAATAGATTATTACTTCTTTTATTTATAACCTGTCAAATTCAACATGCCAAATATTATTTCGAAAATTTTTAAAATCCCTAGCATGTGCAAATTATTTTTGTAACATTAGGAACATTAGGTTTTTAGGAACTGGAAATTTCGGTATCACGCTCCTAAGGAACCGGGATTTCTCGGGTTTTTCCCGGTATTTTCGGTATTGACTAATTTTTGTTCAATGATATTGAAGTTTATCCATCTGCAAGCAAGGCATGGTTTTCAAAAGTAAAATCGATAAAAAATTTAAAAGTTTTAAAAGAAAATAATATCAAATTAATAAGTAATCAGTTGTGACAAAATTAACATGAAACACAAAAAAACACAAGCGAAGAAAAAAACCAAAAAAATGGATAAAACATTGAGTTTTAAATGAAAATAATATTAAATTATTAAGTAATCAAGTCAGGAGAAAATTACACTTAATTATACTTAACATTAACACAAACATGAACACTAATGACCACAAGCGAAGAAAAAAAACGAAAAAATAACATAGGTGACTTAAAATTTATATAGTACATACTAGTGATGGGAATGATCGAATTATTTTCACCATCGCATAATTAGTAATAATTCATATTTCACAATCGAATTAATAATTCGAATTATTTAGTAGTATTATAAATTTAACCTAAAAATAAATTCGTCCCAGCTAGTGCTCGTCTAGGGGCTATTTTAAACAAATTCTGAACCATTGCCATACCTATATTCTATCACTGAATAAAAAATAAAAAAAAAATCTTTATTCAATGTATTCTATTAACTGTGCCGAAGCCGTTTAATAAATTAAACCATAATTTAAAGTTTTAAGATGGAAATGAACCAAATAATAGTAGTATTCTTTCGTTCTGAACGAAATGAAAATTTTCACTTAAACTGATTTATTCCTACGTGGTATAGGAAATAACAATGATTTCTGGATTTTTCTATATCGGATCGTTCCTTTCTTTGCCGATTCCCTTTATAAATCAGTTTATGTTAAAATTTTCAGTTCGTTCAGAACGAAAGAATACTACTATTAGTACTATACTAATTACTAATATTCGTATTTGTCCATAAGAGGTTATGTTTTACGTTCATTTGTAATTCGGTTACCACAGATATAATATAAAATACTACTAATTTTTATCTCGATATATCGAAAAAGATAATTCGAATTAGTTAGTTTTAACTTTTACTATCGAATCAAAGACATACATTTCGAGGGACCTCGTATGATTTGTTTCATATCTAGCAATATGGTGTGCCTCGTAAGCAATATTTAAAAAAAATAAAAATGATATTTCGGCGCTATAAGATAGCAATTCATTTCAAAAAATTAATTTAATGAAAAATTATATTTTTATGAATATCCTGGAAAATCGTTTCTGTTTTTTGAAAAATTATACGATGTTTGTTTTCAACTTACGCTGATCCCGTATTCGAATTTATATTGTGGATGGGCATTGTAGGGCTCTGGCGGTCTCACAGCTACAGCAGGGGCGTGCGCTAAAGCTAGTGGTGCAGGGTAATGTTCTAAAAGTGGACTAGCTCTTATTGACGCTCCCAAAAATGCGAATATTACTACAGTCTGAAATAAAAGAAAAAATAATCATATTTTCCATTACCAAGAAAAAAAGAAAAAAACATATTAAACGTGCGACCAGACCAATTTCGACCAAAGAGATATAGATAGATAATCCTAAAGATTATTATCTATAATAATCTTTATGATTATCGATATTATAGATAGATAATATCATAAAGATTATTATCTATCTATTCCTTACTTCCCAAAATACGCAAAGGCTTTATATTATATTTTTTATTTTACAAAACAAAAAAGGGTATTAATAGTTAGCAACAAATACATATAGACAGAAATACTAGAAGGTCTAAAACTAAATTCTAAAAAATACACAATAATTGAACACTATAATATTTATAAATGAGAGTATATATAGTTGTCAGTCAAGGTAAAAGATAACTGTCAAATGAAGTTGAGGATTTGATTGATTGAAAATATTAGCCATGAATTACACTACCGAAGAAAAAGTATTGATGATTAAATGGTATTATCAAGGAAATAGTTATCAAAAGGTGTCGGACATGTTTGCTGCTCTGTATCCGAAATGTATCCATTGACTCTGGTAATAATCTACATATCGCAATGGATATATCTCAGACATTTTGAGACCAATTTGAGTACCCTAGGATATACTGTGCAGATGTGAAGCAATGGCAGGAACAAAGATGAAGATCAAGAAATGATACACTTGACAGTTTTATTTGTGCGTGGATATGCGTAATCGTTATTGGAACAAAGAAAACCGACACAGGTTTTTGAAACAAGGGACGCATATCCACAGAAAAGTATAAATTGTTTTGGCAGGGATTCTGGACACAATATTATCGTGGCCATTATTCTTTACGGCGATAATTTAAATGCAGAATATTATTTGGTAATACCTCGATAAAAATCATATTTTTATACCTGCTTTACATTGATGCGCCGCGTAAGGGAAAAATATTCAGGATAGTTTGGTACCAAATGGATGGCTCCCGGCACATAGTACACTCGGCTTGGTTCGGGAATATTTGAATCAATAGTTTAAACGGAAACGTTATTGGCCTTAATCATACAGTAAATTGTCTCCTCTCTGATATTTCGCCAAATGAATTTCTTTCTCTGGGGGCCATTTTAAAAAAACAGGAAGTATACAAGGATAAAAATACCCAAATCTAGACGAGTTAAAAAATGCTATTTCTGCCGAATCCAATAGAAATTTTCAAGTTTACCAAATAGCGAATGTAAGAATAGAATTTTATGATCGCCTGGGTTATGGTCTAGCAGTCGATGGAGGAATATTTGAACATCTTCTTAAATCCTAAAGTTCTAACAATTTAATAGTCCCTAAATTAATAAGTTATTGAATATTGTAATAATACTATAATTAACTTGTAATTTGATACTTTATTTTACTTTAATTCATATTAGTTTGTATTTATAAATACAAAAAAAAAAAATTTCCGATGTACGAATGAGTTTTCAATAATAATAAAGTTTTTTTTTTTAAAAATTTCTATTAGACAACTTCATTTGACAGTCATCTTTTACCTTAGCTGGTGCTCATAAGTAAAATACAGGGCCATAAGAATAGGTAGTTCAATATTTAAAAAGAAATGTGTTTTTTTTTTTTTTTTTTAATTTTAATCAAAAATATCTAAAGTTAATCTTTTGAATATGGGTTTTAGTGCTCTTCATAAACCTAAATAGAATTATTTTCTAAAATAATTAGGGAAGCCAATAATTGACCCCATTAAAATTCACATGGGATTTTCTATGTCCGTCCGACGATGCAACACCCGGTATGTGGGTGAAGGCGGTTTGACATAATTTTTGCGAGAACTTTTCCTCCGATAGCCAGTAGTGAAAACCACTTGAAGCCAGTTTGAAGGTACCAATAAGGGAGTGGATTAACTGCTTTCAGAATAATTGGTTCCAACGGATACAAAAATGCATTTTTCTTCGTGGAGAATACTTAATACGAAAAATAATACCTAGTGTTTAAAAGTTATCTTCTATTTTTGCAAATATAATATATATGCGAAATATAAAAGTCAACCCTCGTAAGTAAAAAAATATATTAAAAGAAAAACTAATAATCACTAATTTACCTTCAACATTGTCGTTCCAAATTTACACACTTATCAGAAGCACTTAAACCCGAACAATTATGACCAAAAATGGAATCGGCCTCTGAATTTATAGTAGCAACGTGCTCGGGGGTTTTACGCACTAGGACGGGTTTATTATCATTTTTCTCACCGAGTACCTAACCAGTAAAATAGGGTCGTACCGTAATACTAGACGGAAATTAATAAAAATCTTGCTTCGATTTATGGAAACCGGTCTCCTATAATACAATTAGATTTTTGACAGTACCAAGAACAAGTGGTTCTCGTGGCGTACGATTTTTTCCCGAGTTTCTATTGGACGTGCGTGAATGATAGATAGGTCTCGTGATTTATTTAGGCGGTGTTGTCGGTTTGTAGTTATTGTAATAAGTCATTAATATTGATTTGTTTTTGAGGAGTGTTTTTACTAGTCAAGTGACCTGCTCAAGTAACAAGAATTCAATAAATTAATCAAAAAATATTCCTTGTTTATACATTTGATATCAAATAGCTTCTGTTGTAGATTTTATGGGAAAGGGAAGTTAATCACCGCGATCTTATAGTTCTAGTGTGTAGGGTGTACCTTTTGACATTATTTTTCTGCAGTACTAAAATCTGTTATTTACCTATCGTGTGATGTCGATATTTTACAGCTACTCCAGTAGTATATGTTTAGTACGATCCTCGTAGCATATATGAGATACACTTATCTTCGACCAGATCGTATACAAACTTCATTGATTGTAACTTTAGTATATAAGAGTTTCTTCCTGGGCAGCGAGTATTAAGTATAAACTGTGGTCTGGGTCTACAGTTAATTTTTCCTCGATTTTTCCTCCACTTGACTTCAAAAGACACAAAACACACGTAATAACACGAACTAAAACGCAGATATTTGACATAAGTTGACACAAAATTATAACCTATAATTTGGCAAGACTTTGACAAGCCTCAAAAATCTAAAGGCGAGTTCATGGGCGTCCGTTTGTCGTTCATCGTTCCGTCAAACCAATAAAATTGAAATATGATCTGTCATTTTTTAAATAAACCAATAAAACTGGTTAAAAACAACAAGAGACGACGCATGACGGATTTATATTTAAACACGTCCATAGTTAACTTAAAAAATATTAGAATCTTTTTTTAGCAAAATTGGAAGGGACGTCACACAGTGCTTCGAACATATGGCTCTAGAGGACAAAAATGCAAAACTTCTCTTTTATTGTAGGCAATTTATTCAAACTAGGTTTATTTGACACAAATGATGAGTACTCTCATTGTACTAAACGATGATGTTCTTAGTCCCACGTTTATGAAAAAAATCTTATAAATATCAAAAATGTTGGAGCGGTGTTCCATCTAAGGAAATAATAATTTATAGTATGAAAACGATGTAAGTATTAAATAAATCCCTGTGATAAAAAAGAATTGAAATAACATTAGAACATGATTCCTACAATATAAGCCTAATACAAGATAAAAATGTTTTTCTGTAATGAAAAAGAAGTATTAATGCTATATTTAATTAAAAAAAACTTAAGATGCTATAAATTTACTTTAGGACAACAAAATGCATAGATCGTAACTACTCTGATTCAGAAGAATCACTGCTGACAGAATCTTTCAAATTTATAGTATTCAAATCACAGGTAGATGAAATATCCTCACAGATAAGATATTTCTGTACATCATTTTCTAATATGTTACTTTTTCGCGTTGTTACTGTTCTTTTTGTTGGTATGCGAGGGGTTCGGATGTTAATAGTTACCGCTTTAATAGACCATATCCATATATTATTTTTTCCTTTTCTTGGGTATGAGGTTTTATAATAAATTGAAAGATGGAAACTTTTTATGCGACGTTTCGCTCCAACCAACATAGTGAGCTTTTTCAGGCACAAGTGGTGTCTCATTTGACGGGAATCAATATCTAATAAAGAACACATTTTTTGATATACAAATAATTTTGAGTTCTTGTCCTTATGATCAAGCCAAGTATTAACCAGATCGGCATTGCTTATCAATTTTACTCCATCTGAAAAGTATCTACATATATAAAATGCTAATGTTTATCTGTGTCGTCTCTACTGAAGTAACGACTTGCTCTAGAAAGTTGCTTTTTTTTACTAAACGATAGCTAATTGGCTCTTCTAAAAACTGTCGTCGCCGGATTTTTTGTTTTTCATTTGATTAAACAAAAATTAAAAAGTATTTTTTTTCCTGATGTCATGGCGGATGCGCCAGGCTTCAACTAGTTATAAAATAAAGTTCGTCGCAAGCAGACGCAGGTGAACTATACAAAAATTAAAAGTTTATGAATATGACAACAAATATATATATACAGAACAGGTATAATATAATATAGGTATTAGGTATAATATACAGAACTACTATGAATGTTATTCTTTTCACTGATATAAGATAATGATCGCAAAATTTATTTTTAGTGCAAATATTTGCTAACAAAAAACGCTGATTATACTTTGTACAGAGCATCGGCGATCTCATACCGACCTCATCAACCGTATAACGTTTACACTTACACTCGCGTTTACTTAACTATGGGGTAAATGCTACAATTGGGCGAGATTCTCATCCAATGTATACGATCTCCTTTGGTTCTTTTTATCTACAGAATATGCTGCAGAAGTTTCTCTAATACCATTCGGACCTCTCTGTATAAAGTTTACAAATTTTTCTCATAAATAATATAAATTTACGGATATCAGTAGAATCTTGGCAACTGCGCCTTCGACGGTTTACGTCACAGTTTTGGAAATGAGCCGATTTTATTGGTGAAAAATGACTATACAAGCCTCTAATTCTTCTTTTATCCGGTGTTCTAGATTCGAGACAAGCTTGAAGTCGTACCTATTTGTTACGTATCGCTTACAGAATGTTATTCATAAATTTATTTTTTCTTTCTTATATATTTCCAGTTGTATTTATTAGGGTTAAAATTAAAATCGATTACTTTGTAGAAAAACAAAAAGTTATTTTGTGCGTAAGTAAACGTAGGCACGTATTTATAATTTTGATTTATTATGGCGGTTTTGACATTTGTAGTTTGGTGTTAATTCGTTTTAGATTAAGTTGTTTTGAATAAAATAAAATAATGGGTAAAGTTGCGATTTATTATTATTAATTTGATACTAGACCGCATTAGTTTTCAATGCATAATATTTGATCTAATTAATTTATTATTCTGAATTAGTGAATAATGTAAGATTTTTTTTGTACTGGAGTGGCCCAACAAATGATTGTTTATAGATCGAGAATATCTTAAGTTGTGTCTTAACCATCTAAGATTTGCTGATGACGTAGTCCTAATTGCCAATAGTTCTGAAGAATTACAAGCACAAATTAACTAAAAACTAAATACAGCCAGCAATAAAGTAGGTATCAAAAGGAATGAACAAAAACTAAAGTAATGTACAACCACAGTACTTATAGGATACCTAATCTGCGGTACAACGAACTAGTAGACAAAAGACATTCTAATAAGTAACACTAGATATAATAGAATAGGTAATATAATATATTTGGGACAACTAATACACAGCTCAGGATCTCTACTGCCAGAAATTAACAGAAGAATTAAGTTAGTTTGGAGTTTGGAGTACATATGGAAGAAACTCAATCATATTCAAATCTAGAATTCTAGAATTTTTCTAGTTAGAAAATCTAGTTTTATTTTGTAATTTCTGTGCTTTTCTATCACTAGCGTCAAACAAATTTGTTGTAGTTCGTTATTACAGTATAAGCTTTGTATGGTATAGCGTTTCAAACATAGCATAATCAAAATTTTCAATAAAATAAATGCATATTAATAAAAAAAACGTTGCATGAGATCTTGATAAATAGTTATTTACTTATCTTAATCGCCATATACACGACATGCTGACAAATCAAAAAATAAATGTGCAACACAAGTGCAACGGATCAACGAAACCAGTATGTAATTATCATTCTAAATATAGTTATTACGTTTAATTTTTTTGTTATTACCTCAGCTATTGCATTACTGTCTCAATCTCATTGATATTTGATATTTAGATATATACAGATAGAACAACAATAATAAAATAAACTTTGTAGCAGTCATATTATTTCTAAGGCCAAACATGCAACCCCCTGTATATTATTGCATATTTCATTTCTTCCTTCAATTTTAACCAATAATCGTAACACATATAATGTACCTAAATTCAACCATTTCCAAATTATGAAGTTTTGATTATGAAATGTTAAACGAAAATTTTCTAAAAATGTAAAATAATATTTACTAAATTATTATTACGAAGTATCACAGTTTCCCCAGAATGGCATCGTTAAATGAAAGCGAACACATGGACATTAATTAAATTGCTTAGAAATGAAGAAAGAATTGAAATATGCAATAATATACAGGGGGTTCCATTTAAAAAAAAATAACTTTAATGTGCCGCGACTTCATGACCGACCCTGTTACTTAAATTTATTACTTGCTAATAATAGATATTTAAAAACCATATAACTTTTATATTTAACTTTTTGCGGTACCTCGTATATTTTACTTAATAATCGACTGTTCCCATATATATCAGCAACCCTGTATAGCACTTATAGTAACTTTTATCCTCCAAATTTCATTCAAATCGCTAAAAGCACTTGCAAGAAAATTATAATAAATAGAAAAAATTAAGATTTTAACCTCCTGTAGCTAAGAAACAAATCGAAAAAAAAAAGAATCGGATCCATAATCCATTTATTGTTATGAAAAATAAACCTTATTTTTACAGAAGGAATCTCCTCACGAGAAATGTCCCATGTTTTTTGAGAAAACACCCTGTATATGCCGATCAACTAGTATGTTGATTCCATAACAATGGCATTTATAACAAATTCTTTATTTGTTAAATCACTGTGTAATTAATGTATCTAAGATTGAGATCAAAGCAACCGCATCATATATGTTTCAATTATTCATAAATTGTTGCCGACAGTATATAATTTTTTTTTATTTGTTGTTTTATTTATTAATAACGAACGATGTCATTTAAATTAAGGACATCGTATCGATATAGCCTAGATAACTATATCTATTATAGAAAACTTATATAAATCATATATTATTTTATTGCATAATTTGTTATAGTATAGCGATATATTAAATAAATTGAACGTCATTTGTGAAAATGAACTTTGAAAAGCAATTTATGTCTATAGTAGCTTAATTGATAATATGAATTAGTTAATAAATTTGTAACTACTCGTAATAACTTATGTATGGG